GGCAATAGACGCTACACGCCAAAGGGAAATTGGGGGAATGAGATGCGAGACTTGGGAAAGGAGGTGCTACAAAGCGGGGTGCACTCCAAGGTTCTCCTGCCTCCAGGGTGGCTGGAGAAAGAATGGAGAAGTGGTGAAGGGTAGGTACCAGAAGCAGATTCCCCACACAGCCCTTGTGTTGTCTTCTAGGGATTCTGCATGCCCCTCTCTTCCATCCAGAGAAAGGACTCCCTTTGGTCTCCTAGGAAATCTTTGCCTTTGGCTTTTCCTTGGAGGCACAGAATGTAAAGGCCTTGAAGGCCCAGCCCCTTGGAACAGAAGCTAGAAAAGGGAGTGGTTTCTGAGTAGTCACTCAGCTGTCCTAAGCAATGAAGCTGCTTCTTCTCTTGAGAAGGATAAAGAAGATGAAAATGTACAAGTAATAACAAAGTAGTCTTTAAAACATGCTGTAGTACTCAATCAAATTGCAATGGTGTCTGATATCCCGTTATCTGAAGGTGATACCTTACACTTTCCATCGTAGTAAATGTTCTTTGAAATCACTTGCTGCTTAGCAACTACACAGTGCTCCATCAATTAGAAAGAAACCTCTGAGAAAGTTGGAGAAGCCCAGCGAAGAAGCCATGTGGGAGTGCCCCACTTTTCCTGTGGCAGAACCTGCAGACACCACTGGCAGAGGCCAATTTGAGACTACAGGATGGACAAAACCCATGTGCTAGGGAATTGAGGCTGGGCCCCAGAGGTTCGCCATCCCACCATTGCTCCCACATAGCACCACAGTTCCCACCCATCATACGTTCTACAATGACCCAGATTCTCGCCCTCCTCTTCCTCCAGTCTGATTCACTGGCACTCAGGTGAGACCTGGGAGTTCCAGCATCTGTAAGGACTCCTTGCTGCTTCTGCTGTGGGTAAGGCACTGTTGTCAAGGTGTGCTATAAAAATGAGGCTTAAAGAACATAAGCAACTTGCCCAAAACCTTTGACCTGAGGCCACCTGCTAGCTTCTCCCTACAGGCCAGGGTGCTAGGTGATGTTCTTCCCTGATTTTTCCCACCACTCTCCCTACTGCCTGGCCTTCTCTGTCATGTGCTGTCTTATATCTTCTGAACGGAATGTGACCCAGCAATAACTATTTATTCTACAGGTGCCCAAGTTCCCAAACTACTCCTCCCAACTGCCATTCAAGAGTTTCCTCTTCAGCCAAGAATCCTCTCTGTTTCTATAGCACTGTGTATATCACTGGGAAGTCTGTTAGGATTGCAGAATCTCAGGCTCCTAGCCTAGCAATGCAGACCTGCAGGTGATTTGTGTGCAACTGAAGTTGGAACACCTGCTGACCCCAACACGTCTCAGCAGTTGTCCTGATTAAAACATTTCACCCTAAAAGAAGTGATTTGCAATTCTGGTTACATTGAGATCCTGAAGTCCTGGTTGCATCACCTTTGAGCACCAAAACATGTTGATGCCTAGGTCCCATCTCCAGACTCTTTATTGGAGTGGACTTATTTATTTGTATTTGTTACAATACAGTAGTATGAGTGAGTGTAAGTGGAATAAGTGACCAAAACCATTGCTTTAGAGATTTAAATATTTTAGGAAGATATATAGAAAAATAAAGCTGCTCTAAGGAACCAGGTATCTACAGTCCTATAATAATTTTTCATAATACTCAGGATAAATTTCAACTCTCTCACCTTAGCACTCATGACCTTTTTTGCTTCTGAGGCCTACTGACCTCTCCAGCTCCATCTCCTGCCACCTCCACCCACACCTGAGGCCACTGGGGTAGAACTAGTGTCCCCTGTGCAGGCCCTGCTGTCCTTTACCCAAGCAGCAGTGCCTATGTTCTCCTTCTTCAAAAACCTCCCACCCGTTTCTTTGCCTCAACAAGACTTGACTCATGGCACAGTCCTTGAAAGTCTTTTTTTTTTTTATTCCACTCTCCTTGGGGAAATAAAGGATAACACCTAGTTTCAAAATTAAATTTTAAGATTGTGTCTCATGTTCCAGCTGTTGACACCATCGGTTATAACTCAAACACAAGGCCCCAAGCAGACTTAGGCGATTGTCTCCTCTAGGCTGTTCTTTCTAAACAGCCAGTCAGGAAAGGATAAACATTAAAAGGTACTCATGTACAGATGGTCCTTGAATGTTGTTTAAACTTCAGATTTATTTCAACTTCAGCAAATACAAAGGCCAGTGCCCCTAGATGTAGGAAATAGTCTATTTTGCCTCCTACAAAATTATTGTGTGTACCTTACCAAAAAGAAAGAAAGGAGGAGAAAAAAAAAAGAAAGATTTTTCCTTCACTGGAGAATGACTTTTGATATATTGTGTGATTCTGGCTTATTTGAAATCTAATTTGAGACTTAAATTGCTTTTTCTCACTTTTGATTGATTTTTACCAACACCATGAAATGAACATTGTTTTCCATTTATTTCTCTATGTCCTCCCTGGAATAGAACATGAGGAGAATTTTGGATTTACTTTTCATATTTTGTGACTACTTTAGAACATGTGAACTTTGGACCAAATTAAAATGAAAAGTTTAAAGGCTCCTGAGAAAAGTTCAGACCTTCTCTTGCATGAATTTTGTATTAACTTGTAAGAAAAGAACCTATACATATCCAAAATATGTGTTCAATTCTTTTATTTTTCTTCTACGCTTTTGAAAGACAGGAGCAAGCTAGTGCCAAGGATATGCATTTCTTCTCTTGAATGCTCTGCTCTCTAAATCCCTCCTGCGCTATCTGTTGAGAACTGGTTTGAAGGAGATGAAAAAGTGTTCTGTTTAAGGGAGGGAAATAGAGAGATCTTAGTACTAGAGACAATTCGCAGGTTGTTTCATTTGTTCACAACCTACGTGTTGACTGAGGAGCCGCTATGACCTGACAGGTAGGGAAACCAGCCCTTTTAGAAGTGACATCATTTCCCATCTGCATCACTGATTCCATGATGATCTCTACCTCTTCTTGGTAGATTTCATCTTCTTTACTCCTCCAAACACTTTCTTCTCCAGGTGTCTTGGTTATTTTCTCATTGCTGGGAAAAAATACCGAACATCCACAATCTAAAGGAGGAAAGGTTTATTTAGCTTATAGACTGTAGAGGTTTCAGTCCAGTTAGCTGGGTTCAAGGCAGAACAGCATGGCAGAGGGGCCTGGAAGAGGAGAAACAGTCCATGGCAGGGTAGGCAGAAAGCAACAGCTGCAGTAGAAAGCCCCCCTTTATATATATATATTTTTGTACTGGGGCTCGAACTCAGGACCTTGTGCTTGTGAGGCAGGTGGCAGAAACACTGAGCTAAATCCCTGGCTCCCTTTATATTCCTTTCAGGCTACAGCACACCCAGGGTGGGCCTTTCTATCGTCCATACCCAACACTCTGCTAAAACAATTAACTGGACTAATCCAGTACCACACACTCTTAATCCCAGTATCACAGCCCATGATCCAACCACTTCCAAAAAGCCCACCTGTGAGTGCATGAGGCCATGGGGGATCCATCTAGATACGAGCCATAACACCAGGTATCTGAAGCACCATGCCTTCCTGGCTGTCCTCCTCTCTCCATGGTCTAGTCTTAGCCAGATAACTTGCTGGCTTCTCCTTTTCTTGACAGTAGTTGGACCTTTATTCTTCTTTATCTACATGTTCATGTAAAATAATTTCCTCCAGGTCTGGGGCTTATTCCCACGATATCTCCAGGCCCTTCTTTACCTTGAACTCTACACTCATTCATATAAATACCTTGGTTCGCAAACTTGATTCTTTCCAAAATTCTGATTGTAAACCAAGTTGGACAAGAACTGAATCTAATTTAATGGTTAGGTTTGATGTTGACCTTATGGGGAAACTTGATTTGGTTCTCATCTAGTTTGATTTGCATCCAGAATCATGGAGAGAATTGAGTTGGTGAAGCAAGGCACCACTGTAACTTCCTGTTTTATATCTGTTATGGTTTATATCTAGATGTCCCCTCAAAGCTTTATGCACACATAGGTGGGGATTTGGGGAGGTATTAGATTGTGAGGGCATCATATTCACCAATAGATTGGTCCTAAATGTGATATTGGGAAGTGAAGACTAGTGGGTCACTAGGGGGCATGGCTTGGAAATGTCAATCTCCCTCTCTCCTCCTTTGATCTCCTCTTTCTTCTGCTATCATGCTGTCAGTTCTTTCTCCTCTGCAATGCCCCTCTGCCAGGCAGCCCTGTGTTGGTGCCTTGGAGCCAGCCAACTATGGGCTGAAACCTCTAGAGACTGTGAGCCAAATAAACCTTTCCTCTTTAGGGCTGTGGGTGTTGGGTACTTTCTGCCAGCAAGGAGAAAGTAACTAAGACAGTATCGTGATTTGGATGCCCAAGAGCCAGCACAGAGAGAGCTCTTCCCCAGGCCCCCACACCAAAGCTATTCCTCCCTTCTGTGGGTCCCATTTAAACTCATTTGCTTTATTTGCTTGATCCAAAATCTAAACACTAGAGGTTGTTTTTGGCTGTGTGTAACAGAGTCCAACTTAACTAGTCAGCTTTTCAAGTAAGGGGAAGATCAGAGGCAGGGAACGGGGCTGTATGACTCTTCAATGACAGTGGTGTACCATCTTCTACCTTTTTTTCTTTAGGGTCCTCATGGCTGCAGGATGGTAGCTCTACTTGCAGCCTCACAATCTAATAGAAAGGACATGAAGGGACTAACAAGGTGAAGGTTGAAGAGTATATAGCAGAAATAGCAAAGTGCCCCCAGAAATTCCTAGAGACTTCTGCTTATCTCGCTTCTCCAGAACAGGTCCACAGGCCTTACCCCAGGTGTATGAAAACATAGGAAACAGAGCTTTTGGGCTGGGTGCATTGCTGCTTTACCTGGGTTCTATTGCATGGGAGAGAGGAAAAGCAGAGGTCAGACAAGCAAGCCCTTAAAATTCTCCTAGGAATTGCTCATAGTTCCCCAGAAGTAGACTCTGAGACAGGATTTGCAAGCAAGTCATTTATTTCAGAGGTGCAGAAACACGGGTTGGGGTGTTGTAGTGAACCAAGCAGAGAATGGAGTGTCCTCGCTGTGCACCGAAGCTTCCCCCCTCCGGAGAAAGCACTAGAAAATGCAGAAAGAGTCTTGTCTCAGAATGATCCAGCCCCAGGGGTAGGGAGGGTATTTACACACCAATCCCCAAGGATTGCGGGCTTCAGCTCTCTCAGCCAGAGGTTCCAGCCATGCGTCTGTAAAACACCTCTCCCTCCCATCTTTCTTCGTACAGACACTCACAGCTTCTTCTATTTGAAGCAGAATCACAACAGTGATCTAGTTTATTTTTTTTAAACAGGGTAAGAAGTTCAAAAACAATTTAAGGATGAGAATATCTTAAAAATTCACCAAATTCTAGTCTCATTTGAAAATAGGTAAATTTCTGTGATCTCTCTTTGTCAAATAAATGCATACAGTATCTTTAATAATACAGATAGGGCCGGGGATTTAGCTCAGTGGTGCTGCCGCCTGCCTCGCAAGCACAAGATCCCAAGTTCAATAACCAGTAACAAAAAATTTAAATTTAAATTTAAAAAATTGTAATAATATAGGTAAATTTCACAGAGCATATAACATTTGGAATGTTTATGTAAAGTCAATATATTAAGGTGCACATAATTTAATAATACTAGCAATAGCAATCATTTATATGTATATTAAATCTATAAATGATATTAATGTGTCTATAGATCTGAAGAGCATGAACAGCAAGTAAATAACTTTGTATATATTTCTGCCTTTCAGTTAGCTTACTATTTATCTTTATTTTCCTTTCTTCTTCAATTGTTCTACAAAGTAATCATTACAAGCAACCGTCAGAGCTGCCACCATGACCACGAATTCATTAAAATCCACTTCGTTGTCCTTATTGGCATCCAGGTCCTGCATTATCTTATCCACCAACTGGGGATCCTTTTGGCACTAAAAAGAAAAAGAAAAATTCTGTCAAGCGTGAGGTTTAGGATGACAAATGAAATTGTATTTTCCTTTAATTTCCATGTTTAGCCGCTTAGGGCAATTCCCAAGAGCCTAGCTTCAGCAAGGTTTGAGCCAGGCCCACGTTCTCAAAAAAGTCTAGCCTTTGTCTCAGGCCTATATAAGGCTGGCTCAGACCTAAAGATCGAAAAGAGCAAACAGCAGCTAATCAAAGTGGGCTACTGATGCTAGAAATGCATTTATAAGATATCACAGCCCCAGGACATGAGACAGGAGCTTTGACAGCAGAAGAAACTGGGGTGGAGCTCTACCATTTACCCACAACCGCGTTTGGAGGAATCACTGAACATTTTCAAATTTCCTTATTTATAAAACGGGAAAAATAATATTTACCCAGGTTCTTTGAGACACTTCAACACTCTTTTGAAAGTGTTTAACACCAGGGTTGCTAGATCTAGCCAAGAAAAATCAGGACACCCAGTTAAATTTGAATTTCAGATAAACAATAGATAATTTTTTAACACAAATATGCCCCAAGGATTGCTTGGGACACAGAATACCCTACTTAGTGCAATGTCTGACACACATGAAAAAGGCAACCAACAAAGGGTAGATGAGGATGACTGCAAGCTATGGGTGGAAAGAAAAGCAGCATTCAGGAGCTGTAGGTCCTGAAGGGGGAACCCACCACTCCTATGACTAGAGGGGAGGACAAATGTTTCTTTAAAAACTTTGTTTCCTCCAGGAATTCCCAAATGCCCTATCATTAGCTGACAGCATTTAAGTCATTGGAAAGTTAAGTTGATCAAGATCAATTTGATCCAAACAATGATAAGTTTCACTTGAATATAGCAATGTACCAGGTTCCAAGTGCTACGTGATGCAATGGCCGAACTGAAGCTAAGAGAAAGAAACATATCCTACAGACTCCTGAAACAACTAAAAAGTTATTACCAATCATTATTATGTTAAATAATTTCTTATTTTAAACTTTTTCCATAGAGGCTGGGGAGAGAAGTGTTAAAATTACAATTATCACAGCTCACTAAAGGGTTGGGACCGTGACACTGTGTGACAATAGTCTGTTGTGCTAAGAATCATCCCAGACAACACCTTAAACACAGAGGAAGGGGTCTCCTCAGAGGATACAGATTTCCTGGACTCCTGGATATTTTGAGGCATGAATCTATCTGCTACTGAGCTGGCAAGGCCAGATGTGTCCTTTTCATAACCCCCATTGCTGTGTGCTTGGCTAAGAAAGCCCTCGAAGTATTTGTCATTCACTAGCAAATTTGCCACCACAGTATAAAGTACCCAGGCCACATGTCAGGAACAATACATGTTAATTTACAGACTTCTGAACAACATTCCAGGTATAACTAGCTATAACCCCTAATATAATTAGCTGTACCTTTGATTGCTTACCAAAATGTTGAATAACAGAGGAAAATTGCAACATAATTGGGAACCCTTGGAAGCCTCTAGCCCCAGACAGTATGGAAAGGGTACCTGCAGGTGTACACCAAAAATAAGGATCTCTAGTGCTTGCTTCTCCTGCACTTTGCGTCTCAACACAAATTGTATTGTGCTCATGACAGAATCACAAGACAGGATGTCGCTGAGGTCCTTTCTCACTTAGCCCACCCAAGGGTGTCAGAAGACCGGAGACTCACCGAGAGGAATTCTGTGAGCTCTCGCTGCAGGAGCAGCTTCAGTTCCCCCTTGTTGAGCTTGAATCTGTCCCCTTCCTTGCAAGAGTAGTGGTGGAAGATTCGAATCATGGTGTCCATAGCCATCTCCAGCTGGGTGGGCATGTCGGCAGCAGACTGGAATACACGGGGAACAGGCGACCAAAGTGGGGACAGGGCCCTTGCTCAAAAGAAGCAGATGGGCAAACATCAGCACTTCCATGAACACAGACTCTTCCCTTCCCCAGGTCCACCCACTGCATGGTGACTGTCTCTAAACCACAGCAGTCTTTCCACTAAAGACAGCACGCACCCCTTCCAGGCCAGCTCGGGGGAGACTTCTCTCCTCTGTGACCCCCAATTCCCCAAGATGGTCCTAAGTTTCAGGAGGATCACAAGTCAGCAACCAGACTCCAGGCATGGAGCCACGTTAATACACAGAAGTAAATTAAAAGCAGGAAGAAAACACTAAGGTCGTACCTGTTCAACCAGTACCTGCTCTGCCAACAGGTGTTTACAATAAAACTATGAGCAGTTATTCCTAGGCTTCCTCCCTGACACACCTGTACCCAACAGATGACAATTACCAGTGACAAGAGTTCCAATTGGCTGTGCCTGTGTGCCTGTTTTTAATCAGCAGAAGGGGCAGGTGTGAGCCACTGCCCAGAGGGGGTTGAGCTGGCATCCGCTCTGTGCATTCAGGAGCCCAGGTGAGGAAGGAGGAAATCTGTGGCCTGTCCCAGGGGAGGAGGAAGGGACACACGGGCAGGTGCTAAGAATTGATGGCTAGGAAGAAGTCTAAATATTGGAGAGCAAATCGGAAACACTGGCCCAGGGCTGAGGATGCCTGGGAAGGCCAGCAGCGAGGTCATGGGCAGGAACTCAGGCAGAGTGGTGGGATTCACCCAGAGGGCAGAAGAAACTGTCCAGGTGCTGATGGAGAAAAGCACAAAGCAGTCAGCCCAGCTGTGTAAAATTGATGTGAAATGTGGAAATATGTGAGTATATGCTTGCCTTTGCTCAGAAGGCATTGGAAAAGTATACGAGGAAGTGACCGATCAGTAGTTGTAAGGCACAATAGGGAGGGGACAGAATGGCTGGAAATAAAACTTTTTCATTTATACCTATTTCACTAATTTAAAAATTTTGTTTGTAGTTATAGAAATGCAATGCCTAGTCAAAAAATTGAGATTGTCAAGCATGGCAATTCAAAGCCTATAATCCCACCTCCTCAGGAGGCCGAGGCAAGAGGATCATAAGTTTAAAGCCAGGCTGGGCAACTTATCAAGATCCTGTCTCAAAGTAAAAAGTAAAATAGGCTGGGGGTGTATAGCTCAGTGGCAGAGTGCCCCTGGGTTTGGTGGTCAACACTGCAATAAAATTATAGAAATTGAGCTAAAAAACAGAATCAAAAACACTGCAGAACGGTGTGCATAGGATGAAGGGGACATCCAAGAGAGAGACTTCATAGAGAAGTGTCCCAGAAAAGCCAAAGCCAGAATTGGCTACTGTACTTTTAAGTGCTACATATTTCAGGGCTGAACCTCAGTTCTACGAAAATAAGACCACATCTCCTTCTTATTTTCCTTGAACAAACCAGAATGATGTGATTTCAGCCTGTGCATTTGCCTCCCATCTAACCTTTGGGTGAGGCCCTCGGGGTGCCTGAAGCCTGATTCTCAAAAACATTCCTAGTTTATCACTGAGGTAATCGTGCATGTGATAAAACATTGGTATTCTGAATATTCAAGAGTACGAAGAAACAAAATTCTTCTTCATCTCCTACTCTGGAACAGACTCAGTTGACATTTCCTGAGCAAGGGGCCGTGTTAGGGAGGTTACAAACCTGCGTGCTTGGCTTTAATTCTCACCTCCGCTATGAAGGAGCTGCATGGTTTGCCTCAGTTTCCACAGTGGTATAAATGTGGTAGAACCTGCACAATAAGAAAGATAAAATGAATAAAATATGTTTTTAGAGCATAGTTCTATGTCTGAGTCAGCTACTGTTATTCTTACATAAAGTCATTATAGAAAGTAGGTTACTTCTGTAACTATTTCTCGTGCATGTTTAAACATGCATGTTCATCAATAGCATTAATGCATAGACACCTTTTCTTTACTTAATATGTCCTTAAAAGTCTTTCTCTAGTTCCTTAAGAAACTAAGAATATAGACACCATTTGATCTGGCCCCACTGAGCCTCTGTACACTACGTCCCCAAGGGAATGGAAAGCTGTGCCCTGCGGTGACACCTGCATACCCACACTTCTCATGGGGACATCCACAGCTGTGGGGAAAGTCTGACACCTGTGAGAAGGTGGATGGATGGAGAACACCTGGTACACTCCCACACGATGGAATATTGTTTGACCAGAAAAGAATAAAGTCGTGTCATTTTCAAGAAAATGGATGGAATTGGAGACACTCGTGTTAAGTGAACTAAGCAAGATGGGGAAAGTTAAATGGGCAACCTAAAAGAATAAGCAGGGAGGGGGAAATGACAGGAAAGCAAAAGATAGATGATTAGCAACAAGGAAGCACACCAAAGGACAAAGGCAAGGAAAGAGGACAGGTAGTGGCCATTGATCCTCAAATGTGATGTGTCAGCTTGGCTCGAGTCAGAGCCCCCAGCAGATTAGGAAGCTCTGTATATGTCTGTGGATGACTGAGGAGAAATTTGTGAAAACTGAGGAGGGAAGACTCACCACAGGTGTGGGTGACACCAACCAATAAGCTTGCAGCCTGGATGGTATGAAGGGAGAAAGAAGGAGGTCCGCCCTGTTCTAACTCAGAGGAGCTCTGGTCTTTGCCACTGCCTTTGGTCCTTAGTCTCCAGTCCCTCAGGGAGACTCTTTAGCCTTCCGACACAGACCCCTCGGCCTGCTGCCGCAGACCCGCACCAGACTCTGCAGTGAGCTCCAGGCCTTCAACCTTCCGACTTCGACAGGGCTCTCCAACCCTGAGGCATATGAATGGCCACTCTGCATGCTTCCATCTGTGACTCCTCAGGTGACCATTGCGAGCCTAGCTCACAATATATAATCATATATATTTTATATTGCTTAAATTTGTTACTCTAACAAACACAAATTGAAAGTAATCAAGGTTTGTTCTATGCATGTACCAATATACCAAAACAAAGACCATTAATTTATATTATCAATATAAGTGAAAAAGTTTTCCTCAGCACATACAGATCTACCCTATTCTTCACTGAAGTTGCATATTATTCTCCATTGGGAGATGTACCTACTTATAATTAAGAAGCACCTATCATGTCCTTCTGTTATTCCATGTCCTTCTGTTATTCCATGTCCTGTGGAAATAGGACAGATGAATAACACCTCAAGCAGATCTAATTGCTATTTTTACTGGGTGTGTTAAACACAAGAAATACAGGACCACTGGCAGCTTTTTCTCACTGAGTGTTCCTTTCCACAAGTGCCTATATATAGGCCTTCATGACCACACTTTCCTAGTTTCCTCCCCAGAGGCGAATGCACTTACACTCTGCAACATTGAAACTTGCTCCCCAGTGGTCTCTGCCACTGGTACAATTCAGTCACTCCCTAAATCACACTTTTTGCCCAGATTTCTGTGCTAAGCTCCAGAATGATCTGTACATCCACCTGCTGCACCCACAAGCTGCTCAAACTCAATTAGGATTGAAGTAACACTCCTCCCTTTTCCCACTCAGACCTGCTGCTCCTCCTGTAAGGACTGCCTCGGGCATCCTATTATACTGGTCACCTGGCTTCTGGTGCCATCTTGAAATGTCATTCGACATGTCCTCTCCTCTCCACTGTCAGGACTTGTGGTCTCTGTCACCACCACACCTTCCTTGCTGCCCATTCCACAGGCAGGCTGCACCCCTTCCATTCCAATCTCCATTCTGCTGGCAGATTCACTGCTCTGAAATGCAAATCAATTCCCACACTCCTGGGCATCCAGAGGCCTGGCACTGCCTGGGCCTGCGCATGGTGCTGAGCTCTCTCATTCTGCTGGGAATGCTGGCTGCACCTGCTACTTGAAGATTCCAGTCAAGCAGCATCTTCTCTTGCAAGTTTTCCTGCACTCTTCCCAACTCCCCCATAACAACCCCCCTTGTCCCCTCTTGGCCCCTGCTCATCTCTTTGCCTTTTTTATTGTCACACTCATCACACACTTGTGTGATCATTTGTCTTTAGTCTGCCGTACACTCCCTGCTCTCCAAACCCGGACTGAGTTTCCTGGTACCAAGGCCAGGGTCTGGTCTATCTTTGCAGTCTGTGGTGTACGACAGGACTGGCACGTGAAAGTGCTCGGGAATGCTCTACAATGGGTGGCTAGATGGGCGAGTGAGTCAGGAAAACTCTAAGAGTCCCCCATAGCTGAATTAACTATTCAGATAATTATTTGATTGCCTTATTCCACATAAAATTTTTCTTCACCAAAGGCAGAGAGAAGACAGATAGCAGTCATTTTGAGGAACATAGTTTGAATTTGGAATTAAATGTTCTCAGGTTAAACTGCTGCCAAGTTACAGATGCTTAAAATCAGCAAATCTACAAAGGTGCGTGGTTCCAGGTGGCAATACATTTAAATGACACCCTATCAAATAAAAAAGATTTACTACAAGAATTCTCGGTGGAAAAGACTCTGAAGGTTATAACACTGTCTTTGGACTCTAGAAATGAAAGTGTGGCTTTTACACCCCGCACTCCATGAGTTGAAAAGCAAGTGGTTCCGTTTCTGTGTGGCTATGGGAAACTAACATTTTTGTCTGGTGCCTGCTGCTCCCTAGTGTCGAACTCTGGGACTGCAACCGGGCACCCTCATTCCCGGCGTGCATTTGCACTGTATTTCTAAAGCACCTGGCCTTTCTCAAAGGCTTTTTTTGTGTGTGTGCTCTCCATGAACATTTCAGAAACAAAGTAATGTCAAAAGCATCAAGGGACTCTGTCAAGGGGAACACACATTTACAAATGACAAGTGACATGGAAACCCCAGGCAGAGGAGAAACGACTGTAGCACTGAGGACCATTCTTGCTTGATCCATAAATTATTACTGTCTTATGTCTCCACTTTATTATTGATTATCAGTTTTCAAGTCATGATACTGAGGGCGAAAACATCCACCTTCACATCCAAGTTGGTACGTAGAGCGATGGGAAGTAGCTGGGTGCGGTGGCTCGTGTCTGTAACCCCAGCACCCGGAAGGCTTCTCATCTTTCAATGATGTCTCCTGGGCCTCTGATTTCTCTGCTGAATCAAAGGGGCTCATTTTGCCTTTTACCCATAGGCCAAAACCGAGAGCCAAAAAGAAGAGGAATTTAAAGGCCACAGTCTTGATATTAATTTTCTTTTCACAAGTCCAGTACCTATTTCCCTGGATGAAATGAGATTTCTACAACCTGCTTCAAAATAACCCACTGGGCAGGAGGC